TTCATCTGTATATAATAAAATTTGTTTCCTATACTTTGTTTATTTTTTATTCCAAAACGTAATCTACTTTCTGGATAGCCCTCGTAGAATGTACGCTGATGCAACTTTTTGTCTGACTGCACAAGTTGTAATGGAAGAGAAGGCTTGTAGAGATCTGTTTTTGACATGCCTCTAAAAGTAGATGTCATACTGTTTTTGTCTCTTCAATGTCAAAAAACGTTCCTTTGAGAGGCAGCTTTAGTTTTTGGGAAAGAAAAAAAATCACTAGAAGACAAATTTGAAGAACATGCAGGACGATTGAGTACACATACTTATTTTCGGAACACAAGCAGTTCTCCAACTGGTTACTGAATAATGAAAAGATGCGTTATCATGCAATACAAAACATTTGGAATACGTTTTTTGACTGAATAACGTAAGATTAAAAGTCATCTGCTTAATTCACAGCCATTTACAAGTCAATTACTTAGGCAATTGCAGAATCGTTTAGATACCTGAGCTTGTAAAACAAACCTAATATCACTGGATTTAAACACTTCTTTAATCTTCCGAGAATATTCCTTTTTGAGCTCATATTCCAAGAATATTAAGTGAATACAATTATTGCAAAAGAAATTAAATATTCATTTGCACTACGGCTTGGTAGTTTACTAGCGAGTTAACAAAACTTAAATTCTACTTTTTGTGTCTAAGAATACAACAATATTTTAAATATTTACAAATAAAATATTAAACTGGAGATTTAATTGGAGCCTCACCAGTTGCCTAGCATTTGAAGATTGTTAAATACCAATTGTTTGTTGCGAAGTCTAACCCAGGCTGCATGGTTAGTTTTCGTAGTTTTCTAGGTTCTCTTTACAAAGGTTCTCTATGAAAGCATCTTAATCAAATAGCTCCCATGTTCTTTCTATGTTCAAATAACCAACTAACATAGTTTAAGCATGATTTCCAAGTGAAGTTACTAGCAAAACCCGAATACTCATTAAAAATCATGTAGCTTGCCAATTGGGAGTAACACGAAAGATACGATGCCAATAATTGAATTGCTGTTACGGTACGCTGTTTCTAACCTTAGATGGTCATTCCTTAATTATATATAATTGATTTGTAACTTCTACTAGAGCTGACGGTAAGAACTGAAGTGTAAATAAATAATATCGTGTGCAATCTTGATTAATATAAAATTAAAAATATCTTCATAGAAAAATGTTTGCATTCAGACAAAGTTTTTTGAAATATTTGCAGTTACTTTATAAGAAGAATTTATTAATAACCGTAATAATTACTTATTATATTACTGATGATTAGGATTCAGTTCTTGACAATTACATTCTAAATTAGAATTTTAAGGATATAATGAAAATACGCTATGCACAAAAATACATTTTAGGATAAAAAATGAGTTGATTTTTTATATTTTAAAACTTTCTTAAATTCATTTAATAAACATCGTATCCTCATTGTTAATTGAATCCAGAATGTTGGGTGTCGTTTATATAATTATTCTTATTTGTCCACAGAACCTGCCGACTTATCCAGCCATTAACTAGCTGCAAATCATTTCTACATAACCATTGAACTTTCATTAATTCAATCTCTAGAGAGTTGTATGTTTATATCATAATTTGACTTTTATAAAAATGATTATTCTAAATCTTATGTTTCTATAAAAATATACTGTGCTTTAAAAATATAGATGATATTATCAGCTGCTCTTTCAGCCACTTCATAAGCAACAGCTTGTTTAGAAATGAATTATGCAGTTAATGTCATAAAATATTTTTCATAAAATTCAAATAAACATCAAACGAAAATTTTCAGTTTTAGATAATTCGATTTAAACGAAGTTAAAGTAAAGTAGCAGATGATAAAACGCCGAAGGTAAAAATTTACTCTTACAAAAATTTACCCTTATTTTTTTAAAAAAAGGAAGGAAGAGAGAAATTTAAAAAAAGTTAAAAATTTGAATAATATTATCTATACAGTCAAAAGTCGTTAATTCGGAACCCATAATCCAGAATGATCTATAATCCGGACCTCAAAGCTTCAAACTTTCTGCACATGCGGCGCTTTGACGCATGCGCGTAAGTCCTTTACGGCTGAGAATATGCTTGTGCGCGTGCACAAAATACGTTTACGAGTGCGCGTTTAATGTATAACGGGACGGTATAAGCTAAGCTAAAGTTATTTAATTATCTATTTCAGTTAATGTTGCAGATTGCGTTCTTCCTTAATCTTCGAATTGGATCCGGCTTATTATTTTTTGCAGACTGTTAGATCAATTTTATAAAAGTAAGCTTGAACTTTAGATTATGTCAAATAGAATTTCTGATATATATTTATTAATATGTAAATAATCTACAAAGCGAAAGTATGTTTCGAAGTTCATTAAACAAAAAGTGGAATTGCTACAAAAATGGATAAAGGCATATCCTTTATCTAAACTTTAACTTTTTTTTTCTAAACTTTGTTTATCTTTAACGCCGCAGCGCGCAATGAATTGGAAGTTGATCTGTTGGCACTATCCTTATCTTCAGGGCAGATGTTTTTATTTTATTTTCCTTATTAAATGTAGTATTTCATCTCGATGTACTCCATCTTTAATATGATTTAAATCAAATTCCTCGTCATTATAATTCTCTTCCGATAGCGAAGAAAGTGACAGAGGTTATTGAATACGAAACAATTTTGATTGACAAATTAGTCGGTATTCTCGACACAGCAATTATAGGACTTGAACAGCGGAAGTTTGTAACTGAACAAGAAATTATGTTTGTTTAAAGAATTAAAAAGAATGTATTATCACATAAAAAACGAAGAAACTTAAACAACTTACATTGAAAGAAATGTTTAATAAAGTAAACAAATAAATGTTAAGCCTTTTTCTTTTTGTAAATTTTGATACCCTTTAGATCGTAATTGTTCTTTATTTCATAAATTACGGTTTCATATTTTTAATTTTATAATATCTGCATGCCATCTTACCAGGTTTAAACTGATGATCTATAATCTGCAAAATTAACTGAATTAGATAATTTTAGCTTAGCTTATACCGTCCTTTATACATTAAACGCGCATGCGTAAATGCATTTTGCACACGCATATTCGCAGCCGTAAAGGTCTTATGCGCATGCGTCAACGCTACACATGCGCAGAAAGTTTGTAGCTTTGAGGTCCGGATTCTAGATCATTCCGGATTATGGGTGTCCGAATTAACGACTTTTGACTGTATGTTATTTCAGGAAAAGTCCGATTTTGTGTCAAAATACCTATGTTAGAATAGTGCTATATATAAATCTAATATATATCCTAAGACACGCTTTCGAGACATGAAAAACGCGGTTTGAATTTTGTCAATCAGCCCAGTAGACGGGAGATATAGAGCACTGTCCCATTTTTTTTTTTTTTTTTTTTTTTTTTTTGAGCAGTGTACAGTTTTATGAATGTGAAAAGCTTAATGGATTCTTAACAGAACCAAAATCGAAATTAAGTGCCTAATTCTGATTAGCTATTGAAAATTTTATTTTTCCTTTTTAAGCATAAGATCTGTGATATTTGATACAAAATTTCAATGCTTTTTTAGTTTAGTGATACATATCAAACCCCACCAACAAATATGCTATGAATTTCCCAAGAATTTAACTGAGTTGGGACCTACTTTTAAACTTTGCAATGGTGTTTTTCTCTTTCAATTTGATTCAAACAATAAACATTTAATTATGGCAAATAGAAAGTAATCTACCTTACAACAAATGCTTTCAGAAAACTCTCTAACAGAGATTATCTATTATTTACATATACAGTCAAAAGTCGCTAATCCGGACTCGTCGGGACTTCGGCGATTCCGGATTATCGATTTTTCCGGATTATAGATCATCAGTTTAAATCTGGTCAGATGGCATGCAGAAATTATAAAATTAAAAATATGAAACCGTAATTTATGAAATAAAGAACAATTATAATCTAAAGGATATCAACAATCTATGAACAGCTGACAGGTTATCCTTTTTTTTTAATAAACTGAAACTTTTAAAAATTTTAAATTTCACTTATCAGATATTTATTAAAACATACATTAACAATATCATAAAGGAAAAATTGAAATTTTTATTTATTTTCCATCCAAAATCCAAAGTTTGGTACTTTATTAAACTTTGTTTTTCAAAGATATTGATACCTAAATATTAAATTTTCAAACTCATATTTCTTTAAACATGCTTAATCAATCATTAAACAACTTACTCAATTTTACTGTTGTTAATGCATTTGGTGCTTTATGTTTTTCTGTAGTATTTTATAATTTTTAATGATGATGTTTTGAGTTTTATGTATTTTTTCTTTGCTGTGAAGTGAGAACTGAATTGAATGAGAAATATATCTCTAATGAAATTTGAGGAAACAAATAATTGATGTGTACATACTAATGTGCAGATAAACTAGGTAATGTACTGTTTATTGATGCAAAACAAAATTAAAAACAGTTATTAACTGTTGATTAAATCTTCACAAAAAGCTTTACAAATATCTATAACAGACTAAGATAATTTTGACTAAATAAAATTTAATAAGAAAAATTATGCTGAAAATCACTAAGGATGAAGACATACAAGTAGCACAATTTAATAAATTCAATAAACTTGATTTATAGTTGAGAAACATTTTCCTTATTAATGGTTAAAAATTTTGATATTTCAGTTGTATACTCCGAGATGTAATGTAATACCAGAAAAGTTGACAGCTATGCTACTTATCTATTAAAAAATTTTTAAAAGTTATTGATCTTTCAATAGAAAATATGAAACACACATTCTTTTAAATTTTCAACTTAAGCATACAGATTCTCTTAAAATCATACTTACTGAACTTTTTAAACAGAAATGAATGAATTTCTACAGAAAATTCTTTCTTAAGATTACAGTTTCCTATTTTTATATGAAAAATAACCAATATTAAAAGCACAATTAAAAAAATTTTAAGAAGTGGCAGTAGGAGACACTTACATTAGTTGACAGTGATAAGGAAGGACAAAAAAAAATCTTCAACTGCAGAGAAAACTATCATCACACTAAATCTTGCAAGTGTGAAACAAAATAAACCTTGAAATATACCAAAAGAAAAGTAAGTTGTATTGATGTTGTAAAGAAAAATAAATTGTAATAATTATATTTCAAATTCAAGTACAGTTCAACCAGATAAGGCATACACTAATGAAAACAATTTAAGCTGTGATGTTTTTTTCAATATGTTTCAGGCTTGCACATACCATATCATCATTTATGAACATGTGGATAGCCAAAAGATCAGTTATTGGTTTAATCCTAGTAAAGGGCACACATGGGATTTGGCAACTTCTGAAAATTTTATGATAAGCAGTTGACACAGTAATAAGATGAGCAACAAACAAGTCATTTTTGTGTTTGGAGACAATTTTCAAAATCACACCAAGGCTGTACCGTATACCAAGATTTCACCCAGTTATTTACAGTCTGATACAGCCTTTTAAAAGTTTTAAACACAAAACGAAAACAACAGTCCTTTAGGGACAAAGCCCTTTTGGACTAATAAAGTAAGAATCAGAATAAATGAACATGGGAACAAATAAAAAAGTTAATAAGGTAAAATGTTAAGAATTTAAACAACAAGGAAAGGAAAATAAGAGATGTAATCTTTTAAAGGAGTTCATAAAAGCTCTGGCATTCCAATATAGTTTACTTGTCTCACCACGTTTCTGAGACTCTTTATCTAGTTCTGGGCATATAAGATGTTCTGTATTCATGATGTCCGAATTGCAAATTTGGCATATACTAGATCAACTGAATATTAATTAATGTTAAATTTAAGACTAATTTCATTTTGTAACTGAATACTAATTCCAAATTGAAATTAACTGTATTAAGTGGCTTCAGTTATTTGACAATATGGAAACCCCTGGCAGATTTGGAAAACTTCATAAACCACTCTTGGGAGGGAGAGACAAACTGGCAAAGCTTTTAAATAAAACTATTAGCAATTAAATGTAGGCCTCTCTTCTTCAAGGGAACATGTAAAACAAAACAAAAAAAAACTTAATTTTATTCAAAATCTCTGCCAGTCTATGGCTGCTTTTTTGTTTACTTTAAAATTCTACATTAATGTAGCATTTTTCTAATTAAAATTTATTTATTAAGTATAAGAGTGAGGAAAACACTATAATTATATACAATTAAATTATATTTATTTAATTGAAGATGTAAATGATTTTATGTGCCTAATAAATCAGAATAAAAGTTTTTAATACTCAGGTTCCGAATAATGAGATTTCATGATTAACATAAATACATCTGCGGGGAAAGTGTAGAATCGCCCACTGCTTGGCACGTTTTTAAGAATTGCACACTTGGTATCCATGTACACATCAAACCATTTTCACTTAAAAAACATTCCAGAACTGCACAAAAATGGCATAGCGCACGCTTTTGACTTTTGGCACAAACTAGGCTTTTGACCTAGTTTCACTTAAAAAGTCAAAGAAAATGGACAAAAATCCAATTCTTCTTACTCTTATAAAAAGCGCCAAACAAACGGCAATCAAATAAGTGGGCGTTTCTACACTTTTAGCGGTTTAATTCTAGTATCCGGTGCACATGGGATTTGGCTACTTCTATAATGAGCAGTAAAAACAGGACATATACGATAAGTAGTAAACGGGTCATTCAATGAATATATATATAGTTATGTATGTCACTATATACATAGACGTTCTTTGGGTCATTTTTGGTGTTGGCGATAATCTTCAAAAAAAGTGCCAAGGCTGCACCGTATACTAGGATTTTACCCTTTAGCCACATCTGCTTCCTTAATAAAGGCAAACGTTGAATATTTCTTTTATGTTTTGTATTATTATGAAGAAAAACACTAATGTGAGATATCAATATATGCAGGACAGATTGGATGCAAGTACATGAAATACAATATTTTCTGCAGGGTCTACAGACATTCTTAACATGAGATGGAAATTCAGAATATGTAATTAAATATACTTTTATCATATACACAGAAGCAACATAATGTCCCATTAAAGTTAATGCAGAACTGTTTACCATCTTTATCTCTTTATTCAAGTAATCAGATATCAACAAATGATTATCACTTAATAAGGGCATCATAATCACGTAATTATTTTCTTTAAGCACATAGCTTATATTAAAAAAATATCGCCTTTCCCAAATGTTTGCACACATTTTGTGTTTCAATGCCATATAGCGTGCTTGCTACCTGAAAACATTTACCGATTTAACCAGGAAACATGATACTTCAGTGTCAGTAGCGTAGCTAGGGTGGGGCAAGGAGGGGCATCTGTCCCCGGGCGCAGCATCCAAGGGGCGCCAAATTGATGCTACGAAATTTTTTAATGAAATATTTTCCATTTCTTGCACACAGAAAGGGGCGTAAATTCTTCAGTTGTCCCCGGGCGCTAGAAACTCTAGCTATGCCCCTGTTCAGTGTGAAGCTCATTTGAAAGCAAAATTGTTAAAATCATTATATATAATTAAAATAATGTATTTCAAGCAGTCAAAAAATTCAAAATATAAAATCTAGAGGGTAATATGAACCGATTATTTCCGATTAAGACAAAAAAATTTAAGACGGAAAGCAACGATTAATACAATCAAAACTCATAACGTGTTAGCAGCACAGACTTAAAACCTTAAGCATACTAAAAAGACGCATAAAATTCATACCTTAGGCAGGCTATATACAGCAATTTTTAACAGGTTAAAAGTGTCATGTATCTTCTCATATATTATACCGAATACAGTATTAATGATATATATATTTTATGCATATATAAAAATTAAAAACACAGAATTCCGTACGTTATACCTACAATTTCTCTGCCAGGTAACTGAGGTCATGGTAATTTATATTGCCAAGAGACATTCAAATTATGTAACAGTTTCATTTTCAGTTTCAGTTCGCAAACCGATAACGCACATTTAGTTTCGAATTTTGCAGTGCAAGTTTCTACATCTTCTTTGCACTTGCTTTTTTTTTTTTTTTTTTTCTTTTGAAAGCATAACTTTGGTAATGGAAGGTGAATCCTATTGGTTCAAAAACTCCCTGTGCAAATGATAGTACGTTTCGTCTTGTTACTGACAGGTGAATCAAACAAAATGTAACCTCTTTCTATTTGCCTTTGCTTTCTACCAAAACTCGATTTTTTGCCCTGTGGGCAGAAAGACAGGATATCTGTTCGGTTCGTTGCTCGTCATAAAGTTGTTGACTTGTTTAAATTTTCTACCTGTCTGTATTAAATGATAGAAAGAAATGGAATTGAATCTGTTACATTTTATGTGGATTAGTTTCTCTTTTATTGTTACATTTAGCGGTTTGAATGTTCTGTACTTGAAAGAAAACCTTCCCTATATTTTTGTGCGCTTATATTCATTTGGGAAAGTAAATAAAAGCCTTAGTAAAAGAAATAGCGTTTTAAAATACTTAGAAATTCCGAAAAGGTAGATATATTAATCTCATTTAATTTTTAGAAATGTATCAAGGTTTTGCCCTTATTTAATTAATATTTATTTAAATAGTTTTCTGGAAACTGTAAATGATATTTTATAAATTTATCTCTATCACTTTAATTATATCAAGATATCTTTGATCAGTAAAGAATTTTTTTTGAGATAAACAATATTATTTATATTTAAAATGCAATGAGCGAAACTGCCTTGAAAAAAGTGTTTGGAAGAAGTATTGACTGAAGTTGTGTTGTATTTTTCGTAGTATTGATTGCTATAGAATTGTTGTATTGTAGTATATTCATTGATATCTGTATAGTGTGATGTATTTGATTCGTATTTGTCTTTGGACCTGCATTGCCTAAGGATTCTCATGGGAAAACTCTTCACTCTTGTCATATTTGAGAACTTACCTGATACTGTGGCCTTGTTCCTCTATGGTACCTCTCTCCTTTTTCTTCACTCCGTTTTCTCTTCAGAGTTATTCTCCTTGTCCAGATTTCTACGTGTCATGTGCCCTAGGGCTTGAAGTCAAGAGCCGGCATCGTTGCGCTATGCAATAGCTCAGTTATATAATAAATGCATTGAAAATGGAAAATCGCATCTCATGAATGTAAGTTTATTTTGATATTTTTATTCATGCCTGCCTAAGTGAGTAGAATCGTGAAATACTGGCAAATGGACACAGATTGAGTTCCTAAATGTCTCCAGACTTCTAGCATCATAATCCCACATGGTCATGATTGCTTCAAGGGGAAACACACACATATGAAAAGGCTTAAAAGAAAGTAACAATAACTAAATATGAATAAATACTAACAATTAATAATAATTTTATATTTGTGTAAATCAGTGATTGTAAGACTAGATGAAAGTCATTAATCACTGATTTAAATCATGCTTTAAGTCAACCATTTGTTTTTAAATATTTTATATATAAAAAAACTAGTTATAATCAAAATTTTGTATATTCAGAATAGCATATTATTCATTATTTATTAAAAGTAGTAGAAAAATTACAGAATTTTTGCAAGAAAAATATGTTGATGCTGTTTCGTTCCACCTTCTTTATCAAGCTCTAGAGCAGCGGTTCTCAACCTTTTGACTAACACGTACCTTCTAAACAAAAATTGAAAACCTTTAGTACTACCAAACAAAAATTGAAAAACCTTTAGTACTAAAGTGGTGGTAGTAGTTTACCACCACAACTCTTGAACAAAGCTGTATCGCATAAATTTACTAGTGTTAGAGAAAAAACTCAATCAGGATGTTGGGGTTTTAAATTTTGAATTTAATAGTTAGAAATACTTTGCTTACCACTGGTTGAGAACCCATCACTAGAGCATTAAAAGAGACTGAGATGGTCTATAATTAAATTAAAAAGCTTTGTAAGCAATGGCTGCACTAGAATAATAGTAATCCATAGCTGCATTAAAAGAGTATATGTAAGTGAAAAAAATTAAGTGTCATTGAAATATTATTCATAGCTAAGGTATCGCTTGTATTTAAAAAATGTTTGTAAAATTTGGGATTAAATTTGAAGAACAAGCTAGAGTGTGAAAACTATCACAGCTTATATTTTCATTCAAATTACTAAAGGAAGTAGTTTTTATTAATGTCTGATTAAGCCTAGAATAAAATTTTCTTAATATGTATATAGCCTTTAATCTTCAGCTGATTTTTTTCTCTGATTTTATTTCTTATCTTTTAGTCACTTTAAATTTCTCTTTGCAGCAAAACAAGTTTTAATAATAGTTTAATATAACTAGAAGCGCTTATGCTACATACATTAATTGGGTTAATTTTTGGATCATGGTAACTTGGTAATTTTTTGGCGAAAATTTGGCAACCAACCATGCTACAGCAACCTACTAGTTTTTGTTTGGACGCCATTTTGTTTTCACGCCATTTTGTTTTCATTTATTTTCTTTTTTTTTTTTTACTCAACATTTTTTTCCAACAATCTGCTAGCCGAATTACGCTTATGCTAGAACTTTTATGGAACACAAGTGCTTAATCATGACGAAGATTAGGTGCAAAATTGGGAGAAAGTGCAGAATCGCCCACTGCTTGCCGCGTTTTTAAGAATTGCACATACACGGTGTCATCCATGTACACGTCGACCTATTTTCACTTAAAAAAACATCCCAGAATTGCACAAATGGCATTGCGCACACTCTTGACTTTATCCATGTACACTACTAAAGTTCTAGCTAGTAACCTTTATCGCCTTACCAAAAATGTCGCCAAACTACCTGTTACAATATTCCAAAGATTAGCCATTAATTGTTATGTAAAGGTATTCTCTTACAGGTGACCTACCACTTGTTAGCTAGGATCAAAACAACTGAAACTGATAGCATTACCTTACTAAACCACATGAAAAGCAACAGTACATATGTAAATGAATGCAAAGAGATTATTGCTTGTTACATTGACTTTTGTTTGTTACTTTTGTTACATTGACCGCCGGTGGCGAAGTGGCTAGCGTGTTTCGCAGCTGTACCACAGGTCCGGGGTTCGATCCCCAGGCTGGGCAAGGTTGACTCAGCCTTTCATCCCTTAATGGGTTGATAAAATGAATACCAAGTTCGCTTGGGAACTAAACACCAGGGATCCTGCGAGAAGCTGACCACTTGTCCAGGGTATTATGCTATGCTGATGCACTCCAAGGTCCCAAACGGTCAAGAAAGCAGAAAAAGGGCACTGCAGGCCATAGCCCACTAGGGCTGTTGCACCAGTGAGTTTAGTTTTAGTTTGTTACATTACCATATTATTATATACTGCTTTACAATTGCTAAGGGTGGACCTCACTACCACCCATAGCCACCACAGAATGAAAGGGAGCATAATATGGAAAATTAGAACAAGCTTCTGAATACAATATGGAGAGGTGTGCGTATGCAAAGTTTCCTTCGTCGGCTGTTCATCACATGATAGCACTGATAAAAAATTTGAAGGATTACATGCATGTGTGCAGTTATTGTATCAAGTGAAATTTTTATGGAAAAGATTTTATTAATGATCTTGAAAGGTTTTGTATGTCTTTCTGACATCACCTAGATTGTGTTACGCATGCACTTATCATTGGAAATATAAAAGAAAGGTGAAGAATAGCAGATGTTATTAAGGAGTTCAGCATTGCTCACAGTGTTGCCCCGCGACTATAACATATAAAAAAACTGGAATCTGTATCCAGTATAATGAAGAAGATCATATTAAATATATGATGCCTGCAGGAGCCAGGTGCATTGTACTATCAGAAAAAAAGAAACCAGCACACCAAGGCTCATTAGCTGGAGAATTAGTTTCTTGCTACCACAGTACAGTGGATCTTATGATAAACTGTAGCCAGGCATTTTGTAGAACTATGTGCCCACAGACCTATTGGGTATGTCCAATTATCCAGACAGCCCATACTACCCACTTACAGTAGTGTCACAACCATCACAGTTGGATTGAACAGGACTGGACTTGGGTACTATTATCAGATGACAGTAAGTTCAATCTGTCATCAGATTGTAGAGCCAACTGATTTGATGTGAGATTGGTGCTACTTATTTTCCAGAAAATACCAGGAAAAGGACTGTTATTCGAGATGTAGTATCATGGTCAATGGCCACACGCTATTACATGTAGTTGCAGCTGGGAGAATGACTTGCCAATAATACAATCTTGAAGTTATACTACCTCATGTTCATCTTTTCCATGGTGCTGTTAATTATAAATTTCTTTTCGTGGACAACAACAAACCATTTCGCCGAGCACTGGCTATTCAGGATTGTCTAGACAGTGAGAATATTCAACACCTCATATGGCCAACACATGCTCTAAACCAGGGCTTCTTAATCTTTTTTCAGTCACGACCCCTTTTTATTACTGAAATTTTTTTTGCGACCCCTGGGTCCCACAAAATTTTTGTAAATATTTGGATCCCATAATTATACAGTACAGTCAAAAGTCGTTAATCCGGACTCGTCGGGACTTCGGCCATTCCGGATTATAGATCATCAGTTTAAATCTGATAAGATGGCATGCAGAAATTATAAAATTAAAAATATGAAACCGTAATTTATGAAATAAAGAACAATTATGATCTAAAGGGTATCAAAATTTACAAAAAAAAGCTTAATATTTATTTGTTTACTGTATTAAATGTTTCTTTCAATGTAAGTTGTTTAAGTTGCTTCATTTTTTATGTGATAATACATTCTCTTTAATTCTATAAACAGACATAATTTCTTGTTCAGTTACAAAGTTCCGCTGTTCAAGTCCTATAATTGCTGTGTCAAGAATACCGACTAATTTGTCAATCGAAATTTTTTCGTTTTCAATAACCTCTGTCACTTTCTTCGCTATCGGAAGCGAATTATAATGACGAGGAATTTGATTTAAATCATATCAAAGACGGAGTACATCGAGATGAAATACTACATTTAGTAAGGAATTATAAGCCAAATAAAATAAAAACATCTGCCCTGAAGATAAGGATAGTGCTGACAGATCAACTTCCAATTCATTGCGTGCCCACCACGGCATTAAAGATAAACAAAGCTTAGATAAACAAAGGATATGCTTTTATCCATTTTTTGCAGCAATTTCACTTTTTGTTTAATGGATTTCGAAACATACTTTCGCTTTGTAGATGATTTACATATTAGTAAATATATATCAGAAATTCTATTTGACATAATCGAAAGTTCAAGCTTATTTTTATAAAATTGCTCTAACAGTCTGCAAAAACTAATAAGCCGAATCCAATTCGAATATTAAGGAACAACGCAATCTGCATTAACTGAATTAGATAATTATAGCTTAGCTTATACCGTCCGTTATACATTAAACGCGCATTCGTAAACATATTTTGCGCACACGCATATTCGCAGCTGTAAAAGTCTTAGGCGCATGCGTCAACGCGACGCATGTGCAGAAAGTTTGTAGCTTTGAGGTCCAGATTATGGGTGTCCGAATTAACGACTTTTGACTGTATTTACAAAATATAGTTTCAAAAATTTTGTGGAAGCCCGTAAGCATAGCACAAATCGGACACACGCGCGAGTCAGATCACTTTTCACTTGTACTGTAATATACTATTGCAGTTTTAGGTCATTAATTTCTAATTTTAAGGCATAGAATAATCGGAAAATTTTAAATAAGTAACAGACGAAATGACAGCGTCACGTGCAAAGCAAGTAAAATGAACGTTTATATTATCAAAAGAATGCGTCGAAAAGTTTTCGCTTTTCTTTGTCTGTATTGTTTATCTTTATCTATTATCAGATATATTATGTAAAAATCTTTGGTAATTGTAAAATTATTATAACAAGTTAAAGAAATATCAAAACTGCTAAAATTTTTGGCGAACCCCTGCTGCAATTCCCGCGGTCCTATGGGGGTCACGACCCACAGTTTAAGAAACTCTGCTCTAAACCAAAGCCCACTGATGCTCTGAAGAGGCGATTTTCTGGTGTAAAATATCCTCCAATGAAACATACATCCTAATTTGTCTGCAGACAGAGCAGTGGGATCAATTGCCTCAACAGATGCTGGATAATGATATGCAAAGCATAATACAATGTGAGGAAAGTTAAATCACTCTCCACAATAGTCAATAGTCTGACTCTTTTCTCAACGGTGCCTGTTGTCATTCATATGTATTTTCCTATTTTTTGGTCCACAATATCAAAGGAACACGTTTTTACTTTTGTATGTTCCAAAACCTTCTGTGCTTTCCTGAAACAATAGCTCTCTTTTATGCTAAATGTTCAAACAGTATGGCAACAAAATTTAATCATGTTTGGATTCCATGCCCATTTAATGTTATGTTACGTTAAAATTTGATATCTGTCCTTAGCAGTTGTTGAACAGTGTATTAATCCTCTGAGTGGGTGGGTATTTGGATCTGTCATGAAGACCTGTATTTAAACAGCACTTATTAGCTAAATTTGTATAATTATTTATTTTAGTCTGTATTTTCATAAATTTCCATTCATTAAGATGACATTTACATTATTAAAAAAGTTCAGTACTGTACAAAGTCCAAAATCCGGACTTTGGCGATTCCGGATTAGGGATTTTTCCTTATATTAGATCATCAATTTAAATCTAGTAAGATCTCATGCAGAAATTATACAATTAAAAATATGAAATCGTAATTCATGAAATAAAGAGCAATTTTGATCTAAAAGGTATCAAAATTGGCAAAAAAAAGCTTAATATTTATTTTACTATATTAAACATTTCTTTCAATGTAAGTTGTTTAAGTTGCTCCCACAAAAAATTCAAAAAGTTCTTTTTTTTTATGTCACATACAGTTGACTTTCCAATGCCATACTTCTCGCATAATTTTGAGACGGATATGCCTTTATCCATTTTTTGCAGCAATTCGCCGTTTTGTTTAATGGACATTGAAACATGGTTTCGCTTTGTAGATCCTTTGGCAGCTCCAGAGTTGGAAACTCTTTTCGACAAAGGTTCAAGCTTAGTTTTTATAAAATTGCCATAATAATAACAGTAGCCAAAAAATAAGCTGGATCAAACTAGAAGATTAGGAAGCAGCTCAATCTGCTACATTAACTGAAATGCCTTAGAATCTGTAAAGATGATTTTAGCCTAGCTTAATGGTGTCCGTTATACATTATTGGCTGTGCATCACAAGATTGGTGACAAAATTCAAGTTGGTTTGCTAAAATTAGTTTAGTTATTTACTTTACCTAAGTTTATTTCTTGCACATGCAACTAATCTGAGTCCTGAATAAATAAACTCCCACATATACTTAACGCTTTATCTAGGGCCGGCGCTAGACACCCCTTGGTGCAGTCTCTACGGGTCCTAAATTCTGTTACAAAGCGGCTTCCTAAGTTCTAAATTTTCACCATGTCTAAACTTTGGATCCCAGTGCTTTCCCTAAATGATAAAAAATTTCTTGTTCCTTAATTTTACCGCTCGGTGCTTCCCCAAATTCCAAAAATTTCGTCTTTCCTAAATTATGCCATCCGGTGCCGACATATTCTGCCGCCACTTTTGGGTTCATAGTGAATAACGTATCAGTTATTATTAATTAAAATAGCACTAAATGTAATCTTTTGGCTTATGAGTTTCATTAACAAAATCTAGTTTTTGCATATGAAAAGAAATTTTTGTTGAAATTTTCCTCGTCAACATTTCTTAGAGCATTTAAAAATCTATAATCATCGCCAGACGTAATGTTAGCATAAAAAGTTGTCATAATCTTGTTATTCAGTTCCTAATTGGAAAAAAAAAAGTTTAGACATCGCTGCATGAGTTATTACTGAAGCTGTCAACTCAGGCGAACTCAGTTCGCGAAGCGGGCTCCTGTACGTCAGCACAATCTCAGACTATGTCATTAGCGATGTTCTATCTGGAATGTAACTGAGCATGAGTGAGTCCTAAAAAGTTGAACTAAACATGCGGTGATGAAAGCAAAATATAATAAATAATGACTCGCCAGGTCGCCGTCAGGAATAAAAAATAGGTGAATGTTTCAGTTTGCCTTGTATGCCAAGCAGACACTCGGCTACAGATCCAAATTATTAATCTCTCGAATTTATACTTACATGATTGTTTTTCCACAATGAGGTATTTTATTTAGTGCTTAAGTGAAATTAAGAATAGGAATTTTTAAATGAAAATCTCCACGTGTTATTATGGAAGGAAAAATCAAATGTGCATGCGTAAAGCATACAAAATAAAAATGCTTGTGGCTTTGAGGTCCGGATTTTAGATCATTCTGGATAATGGATGTCCGGATTTCAAACTTTGTACTGTACCTTAAATTATAAACTAATTTGTACCAAGTGATAAAAAAATCTTATGACCAGATAGCCAGTCTTGCCAATCAGAGGGTTAAATTACGCATCATTACCAAAAGGAATGCATTGATGTCCTTGATAGCTGTCATTAAAAAAAAATTAAAAAAGAAATTCACGCAATCCTACTTGGCATCTGTCAATTGAAGCTAGTATCATATTTCTCATTTGTGAATAGTTCATTCACAAAACACTATCCTGATGTCTCTCGGTATGGCTAGAAATTTGTCTGTATTTATGACAGATTGCCCCCCTACAATTCACCTAAGTTACGGGGCAGTATAGTGGGCTTTGTTCCTGTTATAAACTCTAAATTTTTTTTTATTTAAGATGACCTCAGTTACATTCTATTGTCTGAGTATTGGCACCATAGCAGGATCAATAAAATTTGTCTGATGATTAAAGTTGTGTGGGTATAACACATTTTTCATGCTCATAACCAAAGGTAAATACAGGATAAGATACCTGCTACAAAAATTTTGATTTAAATAATAAATGATCATGAAAAAAATTATTTAATAACAGAAATCAAGTTTTAAATTTTAAAATTTGTTTTAAAAAATTGTATATATTTTTTCTCTTTTCAAAAAACATAGTTTTTATGTACCCTGATAAATATGTTAATTATAAAACAAAACAGTGGGAATTACTCGAAATGATAGTCAGAATTACTTAGATTACTTTACAAAGGCACTGAGAAATAACCATTAAGTGCTTTGTCATACTTAATTAACCAGGCAACCTCCCTAACATCTGTATAAATAACAAAGTGTTGATTAAAAAAAACCATTATTAATAATTTTTACTTTGTTAATTTTATATATGTATCTGTATGATCTGTAAACATGTATACACTGTTCAGCTGTAGATGCCTTATATTTCCTTTCTGTTTTCTACCCATGGACAGATATTTCTCACACTTTTACATATTTGCTTCATTATTCATTCCATTTGTTCTGACTGGAGTATGTCGTAAATATATCTGGGGCAGTTCAAGCCAGTTTCTTATTTATTTATTGGATCATTTCGCTTCCAAGTCTAGGCATGGAACAGGTAAGTTTTGATTATTTATTAGTAATAATTGCATTTTCTCCAGCTGCTGAAGAGTTGCATCTTTATCGCTTTTTTTTTATGTGAATATTGCTGTAATATATATAAAGGTGTAGCAGTGGAGATTTTTTATCCAATCACAGATCAATATTTCAATAAAGAACTAACTCTACATATCTCACATTTTGCTGATTGTATGCTTACTTTCCTGCTTTTGCTCTGCCAGGTCATGTTACTTGCCTCACTGTCTTGTCTATTGTCTAATGAGTTACATAAAATTGTGGGGTGTATATTGTACTCATAATGATGTAAATATATATATATGACTATACCATGGGTACTTAAAATATTATTCACAACACATATTTAGTAACAGATAAACTGTTTACAAGCTGTATATAACATTAATGACATCTTATCATCTTAAACATAATATAAGAGGTGTTCAAGTGGAGAGGTATGAAAGGTCATAACAACCCTACCTGTTGAAATTTGAATAGCTGCTTTGAGATAATGTAGTGAGATATCTTGGGATGCGAATGAAGTGTCCAACATGGTTGTATGTGGGCACCAGCACATGATGCAGGAGAGAAGCAGGTAATTGTATGTGCCGCCCAATTGATGTGGCATTGCATGTGAGGACATCATGGCATTAACATTGTAAAATTCGACGATTGAGAAGCAGCAAGGTCTGTGAAAGGGGTTAAACCAACTAATATTCATCATTAGATGGTGGCTGTATAAAGGGGGAAACTATTTGTCCAACATGTCGGTGAGAAAGTGGAGTGCCCATTTATGTGAAGGCATGGAGTATTCGAGTGATGACCCAAGACTAGGCCAGGCAAACACTCTAATCATGGCCAAACACATCGACAAGGTCAATGACATGGTGAGACAGCATGTCACAATGCGATTGTTGGCAGGGACCAACTTTTGAATATTGTGGACAACAAGTTGGGTTATGAGAAGATGCATGATCATTGGGTTCCGAAGAAGCTCAGTGAACCGCAAAAGAAACCGTATATAGGGCTGGCACTGCAACATGTGTTCTGGTATCCTGAAGACCCTGCTTTCTGGATCATCGCCGGTGACATGAACTGGTGCCATCACTTAGAGTCAAAGCAGGACAGCATGCAGTGGAAGCATGCCTAGTCACCTGCCCTTAAAAAAAATCAAAGCTGTGCCCTCAGCAGGCAAGGTGATGCTCATCATCTTTTTTGATGTCCAAAGTTTGATACTTATTGAATTCTTTGAGCATGGAAAAACTATTAACAGTCATGTGTTCTCTGAGACATTCCGTAGCCTACGCAAGTCCATCAAGAGCCTGGACTGCTCATAGAGGGAGTGATTTTGCTTCATGATAACATGCATCCACACGTCTCCAAGGCTATACAAAATGTAATGGCTACATCCAAGTGGAAGCAGTTTGAGCTCCCAACCTAAACCCCATGTAGGTCGCTCCACGACTTCCATGTGTTTGGTCTGCTACTAAAATATCTCAAAAGGAAGCGCTTTAACTCGGACAACAAACTAAAAGACACAGTGGAGGACTAGCTCTTGTCACAGCCACAGGAATTCTGGGAACAGGGAATCCTTCAGCTTGTGAAACAGTAGGATATTAGTGTTCAGGCCTCTGATGATTACTTGTGAATAAGGACTTCAGTTATACCCACAGTGTCAATTCATATCTTTTCATTTGAACGCTTCTTATTATTTGCTTCTTACGCTTTTTAAGACTAACTAGAATTCTCTTTCTGTATGGTCATTTAACATTTAAGTTAAGCTTGCATGAGAGTAAAATAGTTAAACCACAGAGTTAGATATTTTTAAACCCCGTGTTTACGTATATATCATTTATACGGATCATTATATAAGTCATTTTTAAGGACCAGCGATTGATAACCTTTTGAAGTGAAAAAGCCACAAAGTTATGCTGTATCTCAGAGAAGGACCATGTTATTAAATAATTATTAAGAAAATAAATTATTAGTAATCATTAATAAATTGGATTAATTAGTATTAGAATTAGGTTGATATTTTTTTTTTCTTAATTCTAATAATAATTAACAGAATTTATAAAAAATGATGAAATAAACATAATTATCAAATACAGATACCAACAGACAGAACGGTTATAAACCGAATTAGGTTATCAAGTAAAATTCTCAACTCTTCTCATCACTGTATCACTGTATGTATGTATTTTTCAAAATTTGATGAAAAACAGAAGTTATTTACTTCTTTACAAAATTTAAACTAGCATATCAAGAATTAATTGGGTTTATGTACAGCCAAGGCAAAGTTTGTATGATTATGTTGTGACATCATGCTTAGACATTTCTGTGTTAAATTACACTATTTTGTGACAATATGCTGATAATATAAGAAGCTCTATAATGGTGTAACACATTTTTCATTTACGTTTTTTCCTTAATTTCTAAAATGTGAACTTTTCAGTTAGATGCCAGATAGTCAAGCTTTTACTGTAATTCCATTTCTGTGACTTTCTGTTCTGACAGTGTTCAACAGGTTTTAAAACAAGTAATAGCTATCAGGTAGCAAAAATAACAGATACCCTAACATATAGGCACATATATAATGGATATATGCACTGCTAATCTGCTAAATGGTATTTTGAATCTGTACTGTTGCAGTGCTTTTAGGAAAATGTATTTTGCATTTTGAATTATAATTTATTTGCAGCACACACTAACCCATCGCACTTGTTTTATTTTTTACAAAGGAACGCTTATAAATGAATAAAAATATCTGTATTTTTCAAATAATTGTGTTGTTATATATTTGAATAGAAAGCTTTTATGTTACCTTCTAAAGACTACTATATCTTTGTCTACAGTTTACTGTTATTAAAATCAGGTGACTCATGTATTCAAAGAAAAAAATTAGAAATCGGAAGAAATTGCTTGATGATCTAGCTCCCCCCAGTCAGTCTATTGCACAAAATTCTTAAATTTGTATACTGCAGGAGCAAAAAAAGCTAGTGGAGTAAAAATTATTTATATACGTTAAGAAATAAACATGTTATTTTAAAATGAGACGTTCTTGTTAATTGATTTCCATATTTAAAATGTTTCTTTTTATTCAAAACTTATTTTACTATTTTAAAAATGATATGAGCAGGTACAGATAGAAGCTAGACCAGCACTTTCATAGTACCTTAGGTGATTGAGGTATTACTGTAACTAGCTAACTGTTAAGCTTCAGCCCCAATTTGGAATTCCGAAGGGTCATGATTGGGGTGACCCAAGGTTCTCCCAGCCCTCTTTCCCTATGCAGGATTCAAACATAGGCAGTTCGGTATAGCAGTCAGCATCACTAACTGCTGTTCCATCAGGATGGCAAATGATGTAAACATCTAGGTGCTGTTCTTGGAAAACCTATTTGTGGCTCTTGAATATTTTTATATACTATCATGCATCTTCTACTGACATGAAGTTTGGCCACCCATGACAAAGATTTGAGTTATTGCAGAGACTGATTGAATTTTTTTTTTTCTTTTACAAGTACTACTAAGTTTGTCTGCATCTAATATGATATAAAACTGTAAGTTAATACATATCATATAATGCATTGTATGTAAATAACAGCTTGGTATACTGAACATTGTAAGTATAATTCTTACTATCTATATGCTCAACTCCAAAACATCTTTTATTAGAAGAGGCAAAGATTATTAGATTGATAATTAAAAAAAAAAAAAAAAAAAGGAGGAGGATGAGGGACCATCTAAAAACTTTAAATTACAATCGTGTATCCCAGAGAATAATTTACCATTAACATTTTGAATTATACTTATTTAAAACAATTGCTGTTATTCAGTTAAATGAAGCAGTGATAAAAGTATATTTAAGGGTACTCCTTTGTGAAACTTGGCGATACATAGATACCGAGTTTGTGCAATTCTTTGACTTGTTACTTTGGCTTGCATAGCGGCAATTTTTGGTGCAAAAATGCAAGCCAAAATAACAAGACAAAGAATTACGTAAACTCGGTATCCATGTACACATCGACCTATTTTCACTTAAAAAACATCAAAGAACTTCACTAACTCTCCATTGAACACTCCCTTGACTTTGTCCATGTACACATTGATCTGTATTCACTGAAAAAGTCAAAGGAGCAGCCAAATTCTACACTAGAGCCAAACAAAAAATATATAATCTCAATAAACTACGTTTTAAATCAAACACTGAAATAACATGAAAAAGAAAATTCATCTTTGCACTACACAAAGGAAATATCCACTAACCTTATTCATGAATTCACACCTCTTGAGCAAAAAAAATTCCTTAACAGCATTTAAAAACTTCCTAAAATTATCTGAACTAGAATCTGTATACTGGCGTCGCCACATAAATTCACAAAATAAGAGTAAAAAATATCTTTTGTAATGACGTTTGACCATATGCATTTCCTTCCTACAAACAGGACACCTTATAATGGCTACTAAGAAAACCTTCATTTACACACCAGTCAAGTAATGCTCTTTTGCCCTTTCTTTCCAAATCATACAAAAACTTCAAATTAATCTTACCTCATTCGGCCATTTTACCATCTAAACCACGAAACAAGCAATATACTTCCTAACCAACATGCACACAATCACAAGCCCTTACGAATTTACCGCAGGGATTACATCATAATAGGGTTTCCATAACATTCAACTACTTAGACGTATCCATTGCACTTTCTTCATTTGAGAAATTTTTAAAATGGTTAAGCAACTACAGAAATACTTGATTCGAACAAGTTTTAGTTCAGGCAAAACCTCTTGTGGAAGATTTGGAAGTATCAACAGAATTTCGAAATAAAAGGCTTCGGAAAAGAAAGAAACATTTCAATTATGAAGGCAATGATGAACCTATTGAAGACCCGATAAATGCATACAAGATATCTTTTTTTAATGTTGTTTTAGATAAAGCTACAGAATCACTAAAAGATCGTTTTGAACAATTAAAAAATCATAATGAATTATTTGGGTTTCTGGGAAAATTTCAAAATATGGAAAAAGAAGTACTTCAAAAACATGCAGCTGAATTAGAAATTTCTCTAACAGATTCTAAGTTAACAGAAAATGATGTACCAAAGGTGAAAGAAGCTGATATAGACAAAGAAATGGAAGCTTTTAAATCTATTTTTCCTTCAGAATTTTTTGAAAATTCGTTTAAAATGTTCACATTTTTATCGGATAATGATAGAACAGCGGCAATTCCAAACTTGTTTATTGCTGTCCGAATATTCTTAACAATTCCTGTAAGCAATGCTTCTGGAGAGAGATAAATTTCCAGGCTAAAACTAATAAAAAACTATCTGAGATCGACAATGAATCAGGATAGATTAAATAGTTTAGCAATTATGTCGATTGAAAGTAAAGACGCAAGGAAATTAGATTTTCAAACAATTTTAGAAGAATTTACAGAACAAAAACTGTGATATCAGTGATGTAAATTTATAAATTTATATTCAATAAATGTTTTTGTATTTTGAACATTTTTATTTTTTAATTTATGTAGAAGTTTACCTGTCTGATGATCCATGACATTTATATATATATATATATATATATATATTACTGCATTTGAATTTATTTAAATATTTAATATATAGAAAGAGCCCCGCAAAAAAAAAAAAAAAAAAAAAAAATCCAATCGGGCCCCGCACCTATTTGATCCGGGCCTGTGTGTATCAAAAACAATCTTGCTGAAAAATTTTTAGCCATATTTAATATTAAAACTGAAGACTTTTGTGACACTTTTGATAGAGTAGAATTCATTGTACAGTGGTGATTCATTATCAGGTACATTTTATAGCTTTCAAAATTATCTTGTAACTGTCAAATAAGTTTCATTTTTATTTATTTATATATTTATTTTTTGTTTTCTAGTTGATGCTGAATCTGTGATAGTACTGGGTGCCTTATTGTGCTTGCAAGTTTTCAGGCGCTGTTATGAATGTTTATTTTTATCAGTATATTCTGACAGCAAAATTAATATTCTTCATTATTTTGTTGGATTTTCTTTCTACTTTGGTGCCGGTTTATCCCTCATACATGATGCTGTTGGATTTGAAGGTAATAATTTAATTTTATGAATTGTATTACATTTCATATGACTAGAGCTGGCACTTATTATAATGACTTTAAAAAGGAAAGCGAAAACACAGAAAAGAAGCTAACAAGGTCAAATTCAATTAAGTTTACCATAAATTTCCACAAAAACATTAATGAAAAGCAAACAGAAACCTATCCAGAGGAATTCATTGAAAATATTGTTAATATTGGAAAAGAAATGTCTCACGAGAAGAAATTATTAGTTATAAATTTAAAAAATGCCACAAAAAAACAATATTACAAAAGTAATACAAAATACAGATATATCCAAAATCATCAGATGAGAGACTGAGTTTTTAGGCAATGAAGGACTTCAAGGCAAATATTTAGAGGAAGTATATTGTTCATTATTAATAATACCACCAGCCAGTGTAGATGCAGACAGAGCATTTTCAATTCCGGATAATTTATGCGCAATTAAAAAAAAAATCCAGGCTTAATGACAGTTCAGTAGTTGTATTTAGTTCTTTTTACGATCAAATTAAAAAAAATATACAAATTTTTGAACAATATTCATATGCCGAAATGTAAAAAATCGCCAAGTAATATATTGTGTACAAAAATATATTCCAAACTTAATGATAGTTCAATAGATGCATTATGCTGTTTTATGATCACATTTAAAAAATATGCAGTTAATAAATAAGTTTTTTTCCTTTTAAAAGATATTACATAATAGACTACACAACAAAATTTTGATGTAATATTTATTCTTTTTAACCCCTTCAAATGAGCTATAGAGACTAATTTTTTATGTAATGAAGCCATTTATTTAACAATTCAGTCAGATAGGAATGGGAAAATAAATCATTGGGGTCAACCATTTCCTGCTTTGCATTTAAGTAGCAAATTTTAAATCTTCATATTACCTGAATTACTTTCAGCTTTATTAAATGAAGTGAATATGAGGGACATATATGTCTTAGCTTCCAGAAAAAGGTTAATAATAATACAGTATGTTTTGTTCTTTTATTGTATTGTAATGATTTAATTTTTGTATTATATTTGTTTCTAATATTATAAGTTATTATTTTACTGCTCTTATTAATAATGTTTGATTGTAATATTTGTTTCTTTTCTTATATTTCTACATGACAAAATTGTTTATATTTTTATAGTTTAAGCATTCTTTGTATAAAACTAATAAGTATTTAAAAGAAACTAACTAAACTGTGTTTTTGTACCTTTTTTAAAAAATCTTTAATACTGGTATTAATAGTGGTATTCCAGTAAAATGTTTAAAAAAAGTACCGAATACCAGTTATATATTTTTGATCTGATATTGCAATCACTAATCATTGCCCTTTGTTTATAAATGGTTGATATATTAATTTTCTGAAGAGATTTGTATCATGTTTCTCCCACTTTTTGTGGTGTAGGAGTCCTGAAGTTTTACTTAATTGTAGCTGTGCAATATGAGACAGCACTGTTGTATGTTTTATTCTGGACTTTTTGTTCACCTTCAGTTTTCATACTTTCAGAGCAGTTCCTCTAAATATTATGCATGAATTTAATGAATATATGCATGTTAATTCATAAGCAATCCAAACTGTACAAACAGTATGTTTCTCTTCCATTAATATAATGTACGTCTCTTCCATGTTTAATTCATACTTTTAATTAAATTAATTTTCATAGTAAGAGCTTTGACTAAAAATTGCAGCTTATTCATATGAAATTAATATTATGTAGATTTCATAAATTTTAACTTTTTACTTCCAGGTGCCAAGCAAAGAGTGTATATATCTGATCAGTGGTGGATATGGAGACATATTATTGGCACAATAATATTTCTTTTTGGATTTATTTTGCAATATTACACACACAGAAGCTTTGCCTTATTGCGTAAAACAACAGGTAATGTTTTACTTTAAGGAGTATGTTAGTGAAAATTCTAGAAATAGTGCATGATTTTACAAAAAGTTGGGGAAGGGGAGGATTCCTCATGGAAGGTCGGTTTTTCTACATCAAAAATCAAATACCAGCCAATAGCTTCTCCTTTACAGAGAAGTCAAACGGTTCATCTCATAGTATGTTATAAGTATCAGACATCGAAACTTTTTTTATATGGTCTTTCCAAAACTTTTGCAATTTGTTTTTATGTTATAGCATCTTGCTACACACATTTATCATTTGTGCTATTTGGCAAATGTTGTTGTTGCATGAAATGTAAGAACTCAAATTTATCTTCCATGCAGGTTTACAAAATACCAAATGCTCCGAATGTTGCCATTCAAGAAAGCATTTTTTGTAATTTTTTTTATCAAAATAGGTTCAAAAATTGCGTAATTTTTTATTATATATTTCAAACCTACATATATTTTAAAATATACAAAAAATTTTTTATAAAAGAGTTTTTTTTTTTTTTTTTTTTTTTTTTTTTTCAGTATAGAATTGGATCATAAATAAAGGCTATTGGAAAATTGAAGTTAAAGAATAATTACAAGACATTTATTGGAAATCAAGTTTAGTAAAATAAACTTTGAAACAAGGCTTGAGGCAAAATCCTTCCTCACAGTCTTTGCACTAAATTTGCATATCTTTGCAAATTGTTTTGCCAGTTTCATTTGTTTTTAGCAACAAATAGCACACTGTCTACGACGCTCTTCCTTGATGGAATTTGGGGGTATATGGTTAGCAAAGTGTTGAACACTTAGTCTTATGTGACTGAGAGTTGAACTGCAGACTTCTTTGAGCTTTGAAAACAGCATGCAATGCTTTTATATTTTGCAGAAATATGGACAACTGATGCCATCTGTTAATCCAAATCTGAATAAGCAATTAAACATTATAGAAAAGCTGAAATGAAACCATGAACAGAAAAAGTCCAGGTTGCATATTTAAACAGATGAAAAATGCATCCCTGCAGGAATCACAGGTTGCACAAATTTTGATACTTCTACCGGGTGGCCATAATTAAACTGACAGTGCTCACAGTGTTCTGTAGCGCGATCTATTTGCGAGAATAGATAATCAAAATACCTTGCCTGACATTTGCAGGCGTATTTTCTATGCTTCATGTGCAAATGTGTTTTGAATAAATGAATAAATAATTGTTTTTTTCCAATATTTGATTATTTAACATTTTTGGGTGGAAAATTCAATTTACTATAATTCCCTCTCCCTCAAATTTCTGAATATTTTGCTCATTACAAATTTTTGTCATGTTTCCTTCTATTTAAGCAAAATTTATTATTAAAAAATAACTTTACCAAATGTCGTAATTTTTTATGTAGGAGGAAAATAATAGTAAATAAGGAATCATATCTAACCCTTTTAATTATTCAAAATATGAGATGCAAAAAAATGCAGCTAATTTCCTGTCTGCAAGTTAGCTGAATATTATGTAAGTACTTTAAAAGATGCATATCGCAGTCATATGCTATTAGATCTTGTTAGAGGAAAATAATTTTTGGTTAAGAAGATTTATATTCTGAAGAGTCCCTACAGCTGATGAGTAACTTTGTTCCTGTCTTGGGAGAGTTGTCTGTTGATATTTTAGGTAAATTTTGAGATAACCTTGGTAATTTGTATTTGTATTAATATATCTATTTTTTTTTAACTTTTAAGAAAAATAAACTGCATGCTATTATTATAGACTTTCATTGAGAAGATCACTCATGAACTCTGAAAATGCAAGAACTGGTCAGAATTGAGATATTCTGGAATGCCCATAGTCAGGAAACTGTAGGACAAGTTAAATGATTATAGCCAAAGATCACCACTACTGAAGAATGACTATTAACTGTGTATCATCTGTAACAGACAATATCAAAACTAGAGCTAATGTCTATGATTGAGCATTTAATAGCTACACTTGTAGCTACAATGAAGAGGGCTAATATCAAAGCCTGGTTCTACTGCAGCACCAAACATGCTAAGTATTACTGCTGGAATAGCTAAGGACACTGTATTACAAATTAATTTGACTGTTTATTGTTTCAAAAGTTAAACGCATCATCTTTCTGAAGAAAAGCTTTAGCCATAATGAAGAAGAAAAATGGGCATGCTAAACTAAAATTTGGCAGACAAATCTTAGTGTAAAAACGTGTATTTGTAAAGAAATTACCGATATGAAAGCATCAATCAGTAAAGAAATTGCAAGTGGTAGTCAAGAAACAACTCGAAAGAATGGAGGCCCCTCCCCCCTCCTCCAAAAAAAAAAAAGCTGAAGAAGAGAATTTTTGGAATACAGGTTCATCGATAAGTAGCATTCCTGTTCCTCTCTTAAGATGTAAATAATATAACTTCTTATAATTTGTACTATTTGTTTTCAAACAGTTTTTTTATGAATTTAGTTATTTTTTAAGATGATATAAAACATGTATACTCAATTTTCTTGAATTTCTGTGACAGATTTACTTTGACTGCGTAGTGGAATAATGCAGCCTAAACTTTTAAAGAAAATCAAATGAGTATGCATATAATTTTGTGAGTACATATACATATTAATGAATATTGTCTCTCCTTTTAGGTGGTAAAGTAGTATCTACAGCACATTACATGCCCTGTGGAGGATTTTTTGAATATGTCTCATGTCCACATTATTTTGCAGAAATTGTAATGTATTTATCTGGTTGTTTAATTCTTGGAGGTAAAAGTTATACCTGGTGGTTACTGTGCTTGTGGGTAGTAACAAATCAAGTTCTAACAGGTTTAATGAGTCATCAGTGGTATCGGCAAAAATTTGAAAACTACCCACTAAAACGAAAAGCTGTCATTCCTTTTATAGTATAACACTGGCTAATATTTTAAGCAGTGACATATAAAGAACTTAATGACAGTGTATTTAGATGAGTGTATTAAAACATGCTTTAATTTTCATGCAGGTCTTGAACAATTCACAATTTTTTTATTTATTATTGTGTCAATTATTTAATTAGTTATGTTATATGAAATTTTTGTAATTAAATATGTATTTTTTACTTATTCTGCTTTATTTTGAAATCAACATGAAAAAACTGAACTGCAGTTAAGCACCTGATAACCTTATGCTCCAATTCAGTATCAACCCATTTCATGCTGATGTTGAATTTTCAGTTAACAAAAAAACAACATACAAAATATCTATTAATGTATTTGAATAGAATGTTATACGGACTAATATAGTTTAATGTACATTGGAAAAAGAATCTCAGACTAAATGGCATAGCAAGAATAATTTTAGATAATAATTTTAAATTTGTCTATTGCAGTTTCTTTATACTAATTTTTAAAAAATGTTCATTCGTCCAGTTATAAATAATAAAAAAAATAATAATCTGGTTCTAGAATATTTCCATTCTTTACTGCAAATGGCATCATAATCAAAGAACTCAAATAAGTTGCTGAAATAATAATGCATTATTCAAATAAGTTGTGTTGATTCACTAATTAATATAAAGGAAGAAAGAAAAAATTCCATCAACCATCCAATCCCTCATTAAAATTTACCAGTGTCTCAAATCTGTATAGTTTCTGAAATAACAACAAATTTTGCAGTTAGTAAGATTACAAAAGTACACAGGAAATGACATTTTTGCAAATGGAAAATTAATTGTGGAGATTGTTTTCCACTGTTTATTAGGAAGAAAAAAGTATTATGCTGTAAGTAATAAAACATTGAATCAAAATATTGACATTATGTGATCCTGCCTTAAAACTACTTTAATTAGGAGTTTATGAATGGCCTTGGTGACATTGGAACGTTATTAACAACAGGTTTCTTCAGCCAGTATTAGATCAAGTTACATTATTTTATTCATTTTTGGTTTTGCAACTGTCACCAAATAATTTGTCAAAAGTTGATAAACTTTTACTCTAAACTAAAAATTAACTTTGTATTATTCAAATGATGCAAGGTTAGTATTTGGAATTTCAGAATTTTATATAACTAAAAGTAGTTTGTAACCAATTCTAAATAAACTAATGAGCTTCTTGCAAGTAATGATAAAAGAAACAAATTTAAAGCAAAGGAAATAGTGTTCAGGAAGTGAATTTTGTATAATTTTGAGAGATCAAGTATCTTAAAGTTTTAATACAATTGTTTGACAAAATAATTTTTCATTTCTATATTGTTACAAAATACCCAGCTGCAGTAGGATAACTTCCTGGAAAGTGGTGTTAGGATTGTCAGAAAATTGCAAGGAAATGCAGGGTTGCCAGATTTGGCGCAAAATCGCCCATTTGACGACAACATCAGTGATGTGTCATAGACAAAGCGGGAACATTCTAGAGCAAATTCTTATATTTTCCGGAAAGTGTTCTCAAAGGCAGGTCAAAAGCTATATATACCCTGCCTGTACACAAAGTAGGTGTCGTATCTAGAGCAGCGGTGCCCAACCTTGTGCTCGCGAGCACAAGTGTACTCGCTGATCATTTTGTGTGTGCCCGCCAGCCCGATTAGGTACTATGAACAAAAAATATTTTAAAAATAACCATTCTTTTATATTTCTTAATTGTTAAAATATAGTAAGCATTTATAGTCATAAGAGATATCTTGCAAGATGTTATAAAATAATTGATTGCTGACTGATGAACTTTATAGCAAACATGCAATCTTATTGCTTCATTCCCATGTTAGATGGCTCAGCAGGGGAAAAGTACTTCAACGATTTGTAGAACTTCTTTCACCAGTAAAGCAGTTTTGGGATTCCGGAAACGAAAGTTGTAAAGAATTAGACAATAATAATTGGTTATCCGATCTGTATTTTCTCATGGATATGAAAGCTAAACTGAACAAACTGAATGAAGATCTCCAGGGAAAAGAAAAAACCCTTTTTCAATTGACTGGGACCGTAACTGCTTTTCAGATAAAGTAAAATTTTTGGATAAATCAGATGAAAGCTAAACTGAACAAACTGAATGAAGATCTCCAGGGAAAAGAAAAAACCCTTTTTCAATTGACTGGGACCGTAACTGCTTTTCAGATAAAGTAAAATTTTTGGATAAATCAAATGAAAGAGAAAAATTTTAACCATTTTCAAAATTTATCAAGCCATATTAATAACCACAAGGCAATTTAAATAGAGAAATACTCGGAAAACCTAAATGCACTGAAAAATAATTTTGAACTCTGCTTCTCCGATTTCCAATATTATTCAACCAATATTATTATTCATCTCAAAACCATTTGCCGAAATTAATATTTAAGATGTATCATCACATCAAGATTGGAAATATGTTTAACAAAAATGTTGATGTTTTGGAAATGTGCTCGCGATAGGCCAAAGGTTGGGCGCCACTGATCTAGAGTATGTTGAGTTTAGTAGTTGAGTCGAGTTCCGAGAGTGATCGACACAGGCAGGAGATGTACTTTAGTGCTTTGCCATGAAGCTGTCTTCACTGTTATAACCTGATATATGGAAGGCTGTGTTGCTGATTGTTTGAGCTTGTTTGTTGTAGTTCTTTTACTATTATAACATATATTTGGAATTGTTCTGTGTAATACTGGCTAACAAATTGTGTTTTGATCCTTCATCAAGTGTTGTCATCAGTCACTCGAAATCAACGAACCCATAGAATGCAACAATATAAAGAAATTATTGCTTATCTAATTTGCTTTTATTATTCAAGTTTCAACCTAACTCTAATATTTTTTTATTTATGACCTGAAATTTACAAACTCTTTTATTAAATCTGCACAATGTCAGGTACAGATTTCTGTTTTTTTACGAGAGAGAACTCAAACTGCTTACAAACTGAATGCACAATCTGAAAGTAGCTAATGAACCAGATTTTTTTTTAAAACTAAATAAAGCTAAATTTTAACTTGATTTCAAATTTCACTTTCTAAATAGTTGTCAAAATATACATAAATAACAGTAATATTAATGCAAAGGGAAAAATTCAAATTTATAATATTTATTTTCTACCTTTTAGAAACTTTGGTTATACTTTGTAATTCAAATATGCAGTACTTTTCCATTTTGCCGGCGAAAATCTCGTCAAGCAGACTTTATTGGCAACAACACACAGTATACACATAAATTTTTGACAAATGTTAGTTCTAAGAATTTTTTTATTTTGAAGGTATAAACATTTGAATTGTCATTTAAAATTCTGTAAAAAAGCCACTAAATGAAAACAATAAATTTGTAAAAAGACATTAATTTAAGAATCTACTATGCTTTCGTGGTACAACACCCTGATTCACCGGTTTGTATCATGTGACCCGAAATGATCTCGTCTCACGTAAATTATGGCACAAAAATCTAATTCTCTGTAATTATCTACATTAATTTCAAGTTAAATCTTTATTTGGAACACAAGTTTAAATGCAAGAATTATTTCAGTTCATATGAATAGCTTACTCCGAAATTATGTAAAACTGCAGTGCTTTACTTCGCTAGTGCATTCTCATAAGAATTGATGAATTTAACCCTTGACTTTGCCTTTTCTATATTTTCGCCATTGGGTAAGCAGTGTAATTGCATCCTAATTGTCTTAATTACCGCCTGCAAATGGCCTTAGAGCATAAAATTGAACTATCTGGTAAAAATTCTATATAATTGTATGCCAGTATTGAAAGAAACAATCAGTCTGATAAGAAATGGCTGCGACTTGTTTTAAAAATGAGGAGTAAATGGTTACCAGCAAGGATATTGTTTGGCATCAGTTGTACCATTATTGGCGACTTTATCGCCTGCGCTGGCAAAACGGAAAAGTACCAAATATACTAACATCTAAATATTAAATTTTCTGACTGACATTTATTTCAAATAATTCTAATTGAATGAACTAAAAATAAACAAATAATGACTTTCCAAATTTTTGAAGAAATCTTATCGAGTGAGTAAACTTGAGAATAAATAATGGTAACCTATTCTCCTCTAATAGTTTATATTTCCATTTTAAATTGTCATTTCCCGAGTGCAATGATGAATGTCCGTTTTTCTCTTAGCTTCTTTTTCACACCTATCACAATGCTATTATACATATCAGGTCAGTGGTCTAAAAACTCAAATTGCATGCCAACCAGATGCAAGATCTAAAAACAACTGAAAGGCCAGAATTTTTTTAACAATATGAAAAATCATTTAAAACAAATAAGAAACAGCAAAAGATCAGAAAGGTTTCAGATTTTGGCTTTTTTTAACATTTTGTCTGTTGCCTTTATTAAATATCATGTTCTTTGCACTTATACCATAAAATTCAGTTAAGAGCAATATCGCAAAATAATTTTAAAATGAGTATATCTTTAGAATTTCCGATATAGTCTCGCACACAGGAGATAAAAATTTTTTTCTGTACAACATTGTCATTGCTCGCTTTGAAATCCTTGAGAGTTTGTTAATCAAAAATTTGTTAAAGTTTCACAAAATCTAAAATCAATTCCAAATTTGGGCTTCCATATGCCTATATTCGAGTGGAAACAATCAATATTCAAAATTTGATGGTTCTAGGTACCATTGTTTTATCACAATGCAAGGAAACGTACATACATTTATGCAGATTCTTCATTAATTTCTTTAAATATAATACAGGGCGATAATATTGAGTTGGCAACTAAGTAATTGCGGATTTCACTCATAGATGGCTTCAGTTGAATTTTTAGGGTTGCAGACGTAGTACAAATGTAAAACACATTTTGTTATTTGATAGTTGGCAATTCAGCTGTCAATCAATAAAAAAAGTTTTTTGATCAGTTGCGTAGTTTTTGTTTGGCGTTCATTGAAAAATGGAAAATCAAAAGGAACATTTTCGTCCTATTTTGCTTTTTTATTTCCGCAAAGGGAAAAACGCATCGCAAGCTCATAAAAAGTTATGTGCTGTTTATGGTGACGAAGCCTTAAAAGAACGGCAGTGTCAAAATTGGTTTGCCAAATTTCGTTCTGATGACAACCTAATCAAAGCAGTAATCTATTCAGATCGTCACAGTACAACACGTGAGATTGCAGAGAAACTTCATGTATCACATACATGCATTGAAAATCACTTAAAACAACTTG